GGGGCTCTGCGCATACATGTCTGAACCTCAATTATGTTGTGATCTGAGTATATTGTTTTTGATATGGTGACATTTCTTATCAGATCATCATTGTTAGTGAAGATGAGTTTAGTGTATTCTCCATTCTAGTAGCTCTATTATTTGCTGGTTTAAATTGAATTTTGTGCAGAGATTTAAAAGCTCGTGTGAGTGTGAGTTTTCATCAGAGCTGCCTCCTGGTGTTATTACTGCAACAATATTATTTGCTATATTCCTCCATATTAGGTGCCTTAAGTTGAAATCCCCCAGGAGCAAGATGTTGGGTGCAGGAGCTGGAAGATTTTCCAGACAGTGGTCAATTTTAACAGCTGTTCCTGGAATTGCTGGGATGTTGCATCCGGAGGCTTGTAGACTACCACAATGACTAGGTTTTGGTTCTCGACCTTTACTGCTAAAACTTCCACTACATCATTTGAGGCATTAAGCAGTTCTGTGCAAACAAGTGACTCTGCAATGTACAGGCCAACTCCCCCTTTTGCCTGTTCACTCTGTCACATCTGTATAGGTTGTAACCTGGGATCCATATTTCGTTGTCTAAGTGATCCTTTATGTGGGTCTCAGTGAAAGCCGCGAACATTGCCTTTGCCTCTGCAAGCAGTCCACGGATGAAAGGTATTTTGTTGTTTGTTGCTGGCTTTAGACCCTGTATATTTGCAAAGAAGAATGTCATCGGACTGGTGGTATTGTTGGTACTGGGGGGGATTTTTTTTCCGGCATTAATATCTGTATCTGTTGGTTTGGAGTGGAGGCCATCGACTGTGGTTCCACTCCAGGAATGACTGGATTTGGTGTACAATTTCTGCCATTTCCTGCCAGTTTTTTTTCCTTCCTGGCACTAAAAAACCTCTGCCTCTTGAGTGGCTGTGGCTACCCAGGTTTTCCTATGGCCTGGATGTTTTGTATCTTTTTGTCCCCTTTAGATGGTGTGCCTGGCAATTTAAGTTATAGCACAGTCTTTCCTGTACTGAAGAGGTACACATTTCAGGGTGAAAAAGCTTACAGGAAGGGAGTTTGCATTTTCCTGTTGTCATATGGGCATGGCATTTTCTAGGGTGGTCATAGTTGCACGTCCCATCTGCTTTTGCAGATTTCCCATGTCTGCAGATACCAAGTGCATAGTATGTGCACAGGCTTGGTTTCTGTTTGCCTTGACTTTCTGTGACTGAATTCCCTGTTGGTGCATGTTTACCTGTCTTATTCCTATCTTCCCTAGCACCAACAATGGAGCTCCCACCAGTTGTTTTTGGTAATATATCCTCACTATTGCTAGTGGAAATGTTTGATTTTTGCCAATGTTCAAAAGTAAACAAATGATGCCATTGTCCAATAAATGTCCAACTAGCCATTCTAATATGCAGTCATGAATGGGTTGATGTTATTTATATAATTATTACAGTATTGCAGTAGTCTGCATAATAGTAAGTCTTCTATTTTTTGTTTGAATAAAAATTCAAAATAGAAAGCAGAAAGCAAGAGTAATATCAGAGGGGCCTGGAGACATGACTGATGAGCAAAGAAAATGTTATTTTAGAGCCAGGAATGTCTGCATTGTTCATTCTGGACCTTATTTTGAAATTGTCATATTTTTTAGTTTTCGTGAAATTGGCCAAATTGCAAATTTCTGACCACATTATTAGGTAGTTGAAATCGGTAAATGGGCAGTTTCTTGTACTCAATCGATAGAAAAAATGGAGTTCTAAAGAAATAGCTATGAGTTTGGGTGACTGGAACAATGGAATTAGCCGAAAATAGGGCTCAAAGTGGGCGAAATCGCCGATTTGTAAACATCGCCGAGGTCGCTAACTTCGCGAGAGCATAATTCCGTCAGTTTTCCATCAAATTTCGTTTTTTTGGTGTCATTACAATCATAAAAAGATTCTCTATCATTTCATAAGAAAAAATAATTTTTTTTTTTTTTAAATTTTGTGACACCAGGAGACACCTCAGGATTGGGGTTGCGACAGTCAAAGGGTTAATTTAGTGCCAGGAATGTCTACATTGTTTATTCTGGACTCTGTTTTCAAATTGGCAATTGTTGAGTTTTGTGTGAAATTGGCCAAATTACTGATTTCTGATCACTTTACAGTGGACCCCCCGCATAGCGACTTTAATCCGTGCAAGAGGGCTGATTGTTATGCGAAATGATCGGTATGCGAATGAATTTTCCCCATAAGAAATAATGGAAATCAAATTAATCCGTGCAAGACACCCAAAAGTATGAAAAAAAAAAATTTTACCACATGAAATGTTAATTTTAATACACACAAACTGAAAAAGGCATGCACAATTACATGACACTTACTTTTATTGAAGATCTGGTGATGATTGATGGGATGGGAGGAGGGGAGAGAGAGTGTTAGTGTTTAGAAGGGGAATCCCCTTCCATTAAGACTTGAGGTGTCGAGTCCTTTTCTGGGGTTACTTCCCTTCTTCTTTTAATGCCACTAGGACCAGCTTCAGAGTCACTGGACTTCTTTCGCACAACATATCTGTCCATAGTGGCCTGTACCTCTCGTTCCTTTATGACTTCCCTAAAGTGTTTCACAACATTGTCAGTGTAATAATCACCAGCACGGCTTGCAATAGCTGTGTGAGGGTGATTTTCATCCATGAAGGTTTGCACTTCAAGCCACTTTGCACAGATTTCCTTAATCTTTGTAGTAGGCAATTTCTTCAATTTCTCTCTCCCCTCCTTCGAACCAGTTTCCTCAGGTCTGGCCTCTTGCTGTTGAGTTGATCTAGCAGCTCATCAGTGGTTAGTTCTTCATTGTCCTCCTCCACCAACTCTTCCAACATCATCCCCACTAAGCTCCAACCCCAAGGACTTTCCCAATGCCACAATGGATTCCTCAACTGGCATAATCCTCTCAGGGTTAGCCTCAAACCTTCAAATCCCTTTTGTCTACACATTTGGCCACAGTTTCTTCCAAGCAGAGTTCAAGGTCTTCTTAGTCACTCCCTCCCAAGCCTTACCTATAAGGTTTACACAATTGAGGATATTAAAGTGCTCTCTCCAAAACTCTCTTAGAGTCAGTTGAGTTTCTGAGGTCCACTACAAAGCACCTTTCAAACAGAGTTTTGTGTACAGTTTTTTGAAGTTTGCAATAACCTGCTGGTCCATGGGCTGCAGGAGAGGAGTGGTATTAGGAGGCAAAAACTTCACCTTAATGAATTTCATGTCCCCATAAAGTCGCTCTGCACGTCTGTAGGATGACCAGGGGCATTGTCTAACACCAGGAGGCACTTAAGTTCTAATTTCTTTTCAGTTAGGTAATCTTTCACATTGGGGGCAAATGCATGGTGTAACCAGTCATAGAAAAAGTCCCTAGTGAACCCCTGCCTTACTGTTTGCCCTCCACAGCACACACAAATTCTCCTTGAGGACATTCTTTTGCCTGAACGGTCTGGGAGTTTCAGAGTGATACACTAATAAAGGCTTCACTTTGCAATCACCAGTAGCATTGGAACACATAAACAAAGTAAGCCTGTCTTTCATAGGCTTATGTCCTGGGAGTGCCTTTTCTCCTCAGTAATGTAGGTCTGCTTGGCATTTTTTTCCAAAACAGGCCTGTTTCATCACAATTAAAAAACTTGTTCAGGTTTCAGTCCTTCACTGTCTATGTACTCCTTGAATTCCTGCACATATTTTTCAGCTGCTTTGTGGTCCGAACTGGCAGCCTCACCATGCCTTATCACACTATGTATGCCACTACGCTTCTTAAATCTCTCAAACCAACCTTTGCTGGCCTTAAATTCACTCACATCATCACTAGTTGCAGGCATTTTTTTAATTAAATCCTCATGCAACTTCCTAGCCTTTTCGCTTATGATCGCTCGAGAGACGCTATCACCTGCTAGCTGTTTTTCATTTATCCACACCAATAAGAGTCTCTCAACATCTTCCATCACTTGCGATCTCTGTTTCGAAAACACAGTTAAACCTTTGGCAAGAACAGCTTCCTTGATTGCCTTTCTGTTGCCCACAATAGTAGCGATGGTTGATTTGGGTTTCTTGTACAACCTGGCCAGGTCGGCGACACGCACTCCACTTTCATACTTATCAATGATCTCTTTCTTCATCTCTATAGTAATTCTCACCCTTATTCCTGTAGGGTTGGCACTAGAAGCTTTCTTGGGGCCCATGGTCACTTATTTTCCAGATAAATCACCAAAAACACTGTAATAATACGAAATGTTCCGATTGTATGCTTGGATGTTACCGCGGAGGCTGGCTGGTAAACAATGCCACCGGCGGCACATGTGAGGCTGGCTAAGGGCGCACATTGGACGCGTCTCGGACGAAGAGCGGTGAGCGGGTTTTTGGGCGGTATGCGAGGCAAAATTTTTGCGATAAAAGTGAGCGGTATGCGGATTGAACGGTATGCGATGCGTACGGTATGCGGGGGTCCACTGTATTTGGTAATTGAAATAGGTAAATGGGCAGTTTCTTGTACTCATTCAACAGAATAGGAAATATACTAGTGAAATAGCTATGAGTTTGGTTGACTGGAGCAATAGAATTGGCCAAAAATAGAGCTTAAATTGGGCAAAATTGCTAATGCGTAAATATTGCTGAAACTGCTAACTTTGCGAGGGCATAATTCTGTAAGTTTTCCATCAAATTTCATACTTTTGGATTCCTTACCTTTGGAAAAAGATTCTCTATCATTTCATAAGATATATTTTTTTTCTATTTATTATTTTTTTTTTTTTGGGGGGGGGGGGGATTTTTCTACCCTGGAAGCAAGTTTGTGAGCAGGGGTTGTGATACTGAAAGGGTTAAGTAATAGAAAATGCCCATAAATCCTTTTATTATTGCCTCACCCTTTTGGGTTTAGTGCTTATTTTTGACTTCAGAGGTATTTTAATTAACCCATTGATAAGATTTTTTTATGTATCAAGTTTATTACAGCATTGAAACAAATATTGAATGACTCATGAAACATTTATCTTTTTTTCAGAGGTTATCTAATGAGCTGAAGAGTTTTAGGATGTACTGTCTTCATCACAGCTGTGAATGTACCTGCCATGAGTTTCGGCCAGAATTTTCCTTTTGCTGTGTGCATTATACATGTTTTATTGCTTTATAATGTCTAGAGGAGACATTATCAACTTTATTTCTTGACATTTTACTTGTTTATATTCTGTGGTTTACATTATAAAATGTTTATGAGGCATTTAAAAATACAGAAATTGTTGGGTCATTGGGAGCTTATTTTTTGTGGATGGCTGTATGGAGGTACTGTACTGATATGTACAATAAATTTTTCAGATAAATATCTTTATCTATACATCATCCTATTTCATACAATAATTAACTTCCTGCATGTTTATTAAATTCATTATGGACTAAGAATCCTAGATGTGTATATGTTTCCCACTGTGAAGGCTGTGTAATCTATTTTTAAATGTACCAATTTGCTAGCTCATGAGTCAATGACAAAGTGAGAGGGAAAGGTAAATGTGTACTTCTTGTAAAGACTGATATTCCAAATGGGAGGAGAATGAAATTAGTTCTGTAGCTTCCACACCCACACATGTACTTGCATCAGGAGTGACATGTCCAGTGACACTGGGCACCTGATGTTTGCAGTATTGATGGCTCAGTGGCTGGATATCCTATTTATAAACCATTACAAGTGGCTATGAGAGAGGTGTGTATCCCCAGTCCTCTGTCTTTGGAGAGGGCCAAACATCCATGTCCTGATGAACCCTGTTTAACTTGATGCTCTTCTGTAGGGCCTGCCACTTCTAAAGGACATTAGCTATGCATCTTAGATACGTGTAAAGATCTTTTAATCCAAGGAATTGGAGCAACCCCTTCCTTAGATCAAACTTGATCATGTCTGATTCACCGGGTGCTATATGACTCAAATTACGAATGCATTGCCCTGTGAGTTTTATCTCTGCTCACTCATGGTAGCTCAATGGTCCACCACACTTCAATAGAGCATATGTAGATTACAGCACCTTGGGAATGGGAGGTAATCAGATCTGATCCAAGAAAGTGGAGGGTAAGTAGAATTCCTTGTATTAAGACTCGTCCACCAGCATCATGATAAAGAGCCATTACGACCTCTAATTTTTTTAGTGTTAACAGTTCACTCACTGAATGTGTTGCTGGTACACAATAAACTACCACTCACAACATGTGTTACAGATGCAAAATAAACTACCACTTGCAACAGGAACTGTTGGTGCACAATAAACTAGCTGCTCAGGCAGTACAAATTCAAAAGTAGCTGTGTTGAAGTCCCTCCATAATTCATGAGAGTATCCCTTGTATAACAACCCCAGCCACCTATTTCCTCAATCTTATTTTCCATTTATATTACTATTTAGGGTTTAAATCTGCAGCATCAAAGTTGACATCTTTTGTGAACACTCAAGGAAATTTATATTTAACATACACTAAATTTCCTCAGATTAGGCAATATTGTCTTAATCCTTAATTTTATATTTTATAATTCACAAATTTATATGAGCTTAAATGAGTCACTCTTGAATCATACTCAATTATTACTTATTCATACATGACTGTCAATGGCATCCCAACACATGGGCAACCATTCTACGCCACTCTACATGACTGCTGTATAACCTTTGCGGTTATGATTATAATAATCTGCTACAAGACTGATATGTAGTATGGGTGCCCTTGTGTTGGATTGCCATTGACAGTTATGTCCAATTAGCAATACTAGAACTCAAGTGTGACTAATGGCCATTAGCATATCAGTGCCTGGGATTAGCCCAGTTCATCTTGGTTCAGATTCTACAGTCTGAGAGCATGGAGGTGTCCCTGTCTCTTCGCTGTATTCATACATTCCTACAATACACAGCAGAACTAGGAGTAATTATTACTGTCCATCATTCTGGGAGAATTCATCATCTATCCCAGGTAGAGCATGACAGAACAACAACTTTGAGAGGCTAGAGTTTTACCTTGATTGCCTTAAAGCTTAGTACCGCTAACTTAACACCTCTATAAAGCTCGGGAGCTGCAGAATAAGACTCACGAGACAAGATATAGATGAATATCCTCAAAAGGCTCAGGAGCAGCAATTCAACTCAGCCAAACTGAAAATATTTATCACAAAATCATAAGACAATTTTCAATCATGTTATTTTGAGAGTCATAGCAGCTAGGATGGGACTTAAACTAGAGCACGCCACAACCATGCTGGTGTGGGATTCGTCTAAAAACCTGTATTCATGGCAACAGTGGGGACCTTGCAGCCTCCCTGTGGTGTATAGAAATGTACCTAATTGGATGAATCTTACTAGGTCAGTATGATCTGGTGGGTAACACACTGGCCTGCAAGTTTTAAGACTGGCTTGCCATGGATTCGAGCTCCATCCTTCTGTGGCCTGACCCTTGTGGGTTTAATGCCCAGTTACGATTTTAATAATTCTGTGACCTGAAAAATATGAATATCCAGATGAAACAATTGCCCTCAAGAAGTGTCTTAATGCCAGTGAGGGGGCGCTTGACCCAAGGCCTGGAACTAGACCTCCCTTTACTTGGCTCGAACTTTTGCTTACCAGACACTATATAACCCCTGCTGATTTAGTGTTGCCCAGTGCATAAACTGAAAAAATAAGCATCAGATGAAACTAGGTTGGCTAGGACCATAGAGTTTTCTTTACTACATAACATGGCACCAGTGAAAACAATAGTATTTTCAGGAAGAGGTTTCTTAAGTCTCTTTGTTATATCAAAGAAACCAATAACTATGCAATTCGAAAGTCATTGTTCTATAGCAAGAAATGTGTTAAAGAATAACTATAAAAATGTAAATATCTAATTAAGCCTGATTTTTCAAATTTGTTGAAAATTAACAAAAAATAGCATCTAAATGTTACAGGGAGTTACACAAAAGCATTTAATACTGATAAAAGTTAATATGTCGACTGAAAACTAATTCCTTAGAGCTCTTGAAATGTAACTATTACACCCCAATTTTTTTTATATAAATCTGACAAATTGCACATACAATATCTAATAAAAATTTGAATAATTGTTTAAGTAAGATCAACCAGTTTTGAAAAAATAAACCAATATGAAGAGATACTCAAGTTATCTCATGGTGACCTTTTTAAGGGGAGCTCCTTGTTGTGGTAAAGAGGATATTGGTCTGAGGAATTGGACCTTTTGGTCTTCTTCCTCAGACCAAACCTAATTGCCCTCCAATCTCCCATTCCCTATCCCAATTCCCCCATCCCTCCACTCCCCTTTCTCCTCCTTATCCCTTCCCTATCCCCTTACTGTTTTCAACCTTTGGGATTCTTCCCTCAGGCATTCTAGTTCCTAGGTAGGGGGAAGGGTACTGTGGTCCATCCCATTCCGTTGAGGTCCTTGGTGATGCTGTAGTTTTCTGTGGAATCTGGATCAACCAGTGGCTTTTGGGTGACGGGTGTATCTCTGGAGGCTGGCTGTTGGAATCCGGGAGGTGGTGGCCGAAGGAGGTATGCTTTGTGGCGGTTATCCGACTGCCCTCTCTCTTGTCCACCGAGGTGGCTCGGTAGATGTGAGGTTGCTATCCCAGATTATTGGTTTACTGGCATGAAGGGTAGGGCATGGCATGGGTTCCATGCCGCATCTGCACTACTGGTGGTGCTTGGGTCCTCTTGGGCATGGAGGGAAATTTATGGCCCTTTCATTTCTCTTAGGAGCTATCCCTTCATGGATTCCCCCCCCCCCCATTTTTTATTTTTTTTTACCTCTTTTTCTTTTGTTTTATAAAAAAAAAAACAAAGAAAGAAGTGACACAACCATGGAGTCCCAAATCCAAGAACCATCTTCCACCCCTCTCACCCCCGCCCAGACCAACGCAACAACAACAATGGCAGACGACTCAAAAACTTTCTCCCTATTCTCTCAACATTCATCCTCATCCATGGCTCGCACCCAAGCTGACTTGTCTACAGCTACGGATAACACCCGAGATCTCTTCACCCCAAACGGCAACATAGATTACAACTCGTCAACACCCAAAGGTATAGCCCAGGAATTCAGTCCTCAACAACGACCCAACTCCATTGATAAAATTCTACAGGAAAATAGTATGCTAAGACAGCAAAACCAAACCTTTGAAAAACTCATTGGTGACCTAGAGCGCTCTCTATATACCCAAAACATGAGGATTAAAGACCTAGAATGCTATCTTATGACACAAAACTCAAAGATTAGTGAACTAGAAAACAAACTGACAAAATTAATAAACTCATCTAAAGAACATACAAACCTGCACTCAACTATAGACACACATACTAAACAAATAAATTCCCTCACCACCAAGCTGACAGAAGTTACACAAGATTGGAAGTTAAACATGGAATCCCAGTGGAATGCATGCTTCCATTATCAAAGGGATATGATTGAACAAGACAAGCTCCTAGACTGTCATTTTAACCAGCTCTACCTTACCATCAGATATAACCAATGAGAATTGCACCATCAAAGCACTCCAGCTAATAAAAGATGAGATAAAGGTTAAGATTGAAACCAGCGATATTAAGGAGTCCCGACTGCAGGGCAAGCCGGGTCAAAAGCAAAGTATTATTTTATTAACACATTGGCCGATTCCCACCAAGGCAGGGTGGCCCGAAAAAGAAAAACTTTCACCATCATTCACTCCATCACTGTCTTGCCTGAAGGGTGCTTTACACTACAGTTTTTAAACTGCAACATTAACACCCCTCCTTCAGAGTGCAAGCACTGTACTTCCCATCTCCAGGACTCAAGTCCGGCCTGCCGGTTTCCCTGAACCCCTTCATAAATGTTACTTTGCTTACACTCCAACAGCACGTCAAGTATTAAAAACCATTCGTCTCCATTCACTCCTATCAAACACGCTCACGCATGCCTGCTGGAAGTCCAAGCCCCTCTCACACAAAACCTCCTTTACCCCCTCCCTCCAACCTTTCCTAGGCCGACCCCTACCCCGCCTTCCTTCCACTACAGACTGATACACTCTTGAAGTCACTCTGTTTCGCTCCATTCTCTCTACTTTGTCCGAACCACCTCAACAACCCTTCCTCAGCCCTCTGGACAACAGTTTTGGTAATCCCGCACCTCCTCCTAACTTCCAAACTACGATTCTCTGCATTATATTCACACCACACATTGCCCTCAGACATGACATCTCCACTGCCTCCAGCCTTCTCCTCGCTGCAACATTCATCACCCATGCTTCACACCCATATAAGAGCATTGGTAAAACTATACTCTCATACATTCCCTCTTTGCCTCCAAGGACAAAGTTCTTTGTCTCCA